CGAGCTCGGAGGAATCCGTAATCGCAAACATGACGCCGCTTTTGCCGTTCGCGACTCGCCCGTCCTGCTTCTCGTGCTCCTCATCCCCGTCGACCTCGTCGGAATTCGTTCTCCCCGAGGAGGCGGCTCTGTCGTCAAACCTCTCCTCCAGCTCCTCCTCCGGCGAGGATGAGGGTTTCGTCGCCAAAATGAAAAGCTTGGACGTTTACGAGCAGGAGCAGGCCGTGATTTTATTGAGAAAAACTACGAGAGCCAGCGACGAATCAAGAATCGCACTTTGCTCGGAAAAACTCCTGCTTTGCCTGAAAAAACTGCTCGAATCCCGGTACGCCGCCGTACAGATTAACTCCACGGCGGCGCTGGTGAATCTGTCGTTGGAAAAGGTCAATAAGGTCAAAATCGTCCGGTCTGGAATTGTTCCTCTGCTGATCGACATTCTGAAAAACGGGTTCGAGGAGTCTCGGGAGCATGCTGCCGGGGCCATCTTCAGCCTGTCACTGGCGGACGAGAACAAAACGGCAATTGGGGTCCTCGGTGCTCTGCCTCCGCTCCTCCACGAGCTCAGGTCGGGAACTCGCCGTAGCCGCCACGACTCCGCCCTGGCGCTCTACCACCTGACCCTTGTCGGCAGCAACCGGGCCAAGTTGGTGAGGCTCGGGGCCGCCGGAGCACTCTTGGGGCTGCTGAGGGATGCTGACGTGGCGGCTCGGGTGGTTCTTGTGGTGTGCAACCTGGCGGTTTCCGGGGAGGGCCGGGCGGCGATCCTGGACGCCGGTGGGGTGGGGTGCCTGGTCACGGCTGTTGCCGAGTCGGGCTCCGAGTCAACTCGCGAGAACTGTGTGGCGGCCCTGCACTCACTGAGTCAGGGTAGCTTGAGGTTTAAGGGGCTGGCGAGGGAGGTTGGGGCGGCGGAGGTTCTCCGAGAGGTGGCGGAGGGCGGCAGTGAGCGGGCGAGGGAGAAAGCTAAGAGGATATTGGAGGCGATGAGGTGGCCGGAGGAGGTGGCGGAGGAGGAGGTGGATTGGGAGGCGGTGATGAGGGACGGGGTGAGTCGGGCGGGGAGTCGACCGAGTCAATGGACTACTAACTCGACCTGAGTTGTGAGTGAGGTTAAACCTGGTTAAGTAAAGGTGATGTAAATTTACTAAATTAGATAGAAATTTGGGTTAACTATGGTGGAGGGTGGTGTCGATATGCATTGGTTACTTTTGCTTTTTTAATGTTTTTTTATCTTTTTTAGCCTTTGAAGCCTTTGATCGTCTTTAAGTTTGTGGACTTGGATAGGATAGGGCCTAACATCTTTTGTTTCTTTTAGGATCTCAGATGGTGAGTTGATGATTTTATCTCTTTGTGTGTGTGTGTGTGTACGTAATAATTGCTAAATTATGCATAGTTGAAGATTGAAATGGACATGTTGATATTGAGCTTTGTGGACTGTATCTCTTTCTAGATTGTTGATTTTTCTACTACTTAGCTTTGTCAAACGTGTGGTGCTTCGACTTATGATTAAGATTTTCTTTTTATGTTTTGCCTTTTGTGTTAAGTTTTCGTCGGACTTTGTTGTATTTCAATATTTTGTCAAATTCCGTGTGTTTAAGTCTGGTAAATTCAATCTTACTCTGTGAGCAAATGTGTGTTGATCTGAAGAAATTTGAATATAAATTTTATTCATACTACATTTTCAAGTACGAAATTTGAATATAAATGCATATGCATTTTGGTTGAAAGATGAGTGTCTGCGCCTAACAATAACCATGCTAACATCCTGACATGATGATATGGTATATCACCTCAGTCGTTGGCTTCACATAATTTGGAGACAACTTGGTTGACCGGACACGGCTCGTAGCTCGGTTACACAGGATCTAGCTCAGGTCGATACAGTGTCATTCGGACGACAACTCGGGCACAAGACGGTGTAGTGAAGATAAAGTTGAGCAGAGAGGGCTCAACCTAGTGAAAGTAATATCGGGTCGATTTAGGACTTTAGGATATTCTATTGGAAGTTCGACCAAGACCTAAGGTTGTTCAGTAAAGACGATAAATTCGATGCTACATGTGAGGACATTGCCCCCACATGCCTTTTCACCCTTGATTTCACACACACTCATTGTGTGTGATTTTGTGCAAATCAAGGGTGAAAAAGCATGTGGGGACATTGCCCCCACATGTAGCATCGAATCTTCCTGAGTAATGACACTCTCGAGTCCCGACTTTGTTTGTAGGTAATCGAAACAATTGATAAGACAATTCAGATGACGTTGGACAGAATTAAGGTGTTTACATATCCAAGACATAGGCAGACCTAGGCGCCGCCTAACCGCCTTGTCGCCGAGCCCGCCAAGGCCGCCTAGGAGCGCCTAGGGCTGCCTAGGCGCCGCCTAACCGCCTGACCGATTTTTTCTGCCGATTTGTGCAAATCGGAGGCGCTCGGACACCGCCTAGCGCCTAGGCGCTGCCTGGGCCGATTTTAGAACAATGATTACATATTACCAACACAATTTCCATATCTAACAATATCAATACACTACAAAATAAATGTTATATTCCAACGGAAAATCTTATGGTAATATATTCTAATAGAAATTCCAACGGATATTCCAATGGAATAGCTTCCGTTGGAATAGTTCCAACAGAAGATCCAACGGAAATATTCCATTGGAATGTGTTTTTCATTGGAATTTTAGATGGAATTTGATGATTCCAACGGCTATAATTCCAACGGCTTTTTACCGTAGGAATTTCCGTTGGAATATGCAAATTCCGTTGGAATTTTTTTTTCCTCCCCCGTTGAAAAATCCACCGTTGGAATCGTCAAAATCCAACGGAAATTCCAATGGGAAACCCATTCCAACGGAATATTTTCGTTAGAATTTCTATTGGAATCCATTGAAAAATTCCAACAGAAATAATAGTATTGAAATATCCGTTGGAATTGCCGTTGGAATAATTCTTTGAAATATATTTCCGTTGGAATTTCATCATTTTCTTGTAGTGATATTTTATTTTGACTAATACAAATTGGACATTCAGTGAAAATACAAATTCCATTCTTAGAAACACCACTACACACATATAAAATTACATCCTAATTATTAAAGAAAAGAAAAAAGCAAATTAATAATAATAATAATAATAATAATAATAATAATAATAATAATAATAATAATAATAATCAATTATTTCAATCTGTACAACGCCTTGATCCCTTTAATATCATCGTCATGCAAATGTTTCCTTTCACCAGGAGCAATTATTGCATGCATGACAGCCCGCTGGACATTGCTGTGATCAAGCCCAAGCACATGGCCCAATTCATGCAACCCAACTGTCTCAACATCAAACGCATTTCTATCCCCATTATTCGACCAGTTCTGGGCTGCATCAAAGTGAATCCTCCCATGCGGTGGTGGAAAGGAATGGGCCAGGCCACCCCGAGGCTGCGGCCCGACAAACGGGTATTCGTCCCCATGATGCCCACGCAAGAAACTTATCCTAATACTAGCCCGGCCCACATCTTTAACCCGAAAAAACGTAAAACGCGTCACACGGGCCCACTCCTTCATCGCGCGCTCGAACGCCATTATAGCTTCTTCGTTGACGTTTGTATTGAAAATGTAGCCGAGTTTCGTCTTGCGCCACTTGGGACGACCCGGGAGAAATGCATAGCGAGACGACACACGAAATTTATCACTAATGAGTTTACTATTACTATTGTTGTGAAAATCGGGCCTCCCACATCGTGGTTCGTGCAATTTTGATATGGTGCGTGGATCGAGAAGTCCCGTGACTTTAAGATCGTAAAACTTTTGGTACTTTCTGAGTGCGGACTCCAATGAACTGTCGAACAAGTTGTTATTTTCGAGCGCGTGGTAATTGGTAGAAGTGTTGTTATCGTTTAAGTAGTAACCGAGATAGTCGAGATAGTTCTTGAGGTCTTGTATCCCTTGTTCGCTTTGGCCTCTTCGAAGTCCACTCAATGGCTTCAAGAAATCCATGTTCGATGATATCGTGTTGATTGATGTAACGTAAAAATGGAGAAGAACAAGAAAAATGCAATCAGAAACTAGGAATGCAAGTCGGCAGGAACAAAAATCACGCGCGTGTGAAGTGCTCGCGCCGTCGAATCTGGCGATTCCGGTGGCCGATTGTTCGTCGGGAGATGCCGGTCACGATGGTATGGGATGTGAGACTTGGATCTTACTGTAAATGAACGGCGAAGCAAAAGTTTATATTGGACCTTAAACCTAGTCTGATGCCATGTAAGAAACTGGGGGAAAAACGGGTGCGGTCCCACTAACATGAAGCGCACCATAAGTGGAGAAAACTCATATGAAGCTCAAGTGGGGTTCCATCCCAAAACCAATTGGTTGAAGGAGGAGTAGCTCATTAGACTTATAAGGTGGGTCTATTTTCCATGTATGTCGAACGATGTGGGACAACTCACAAGTGATATTCTAATACGCTCCCTCACTTGTGAATCATTCGGAAGCCCAAGCCCAAGCCCTACTAGAAACAGGCTCTCATAAACGGGTACGTGGGTCTAAGCCCTATTAGAAACAGGCTCCCATAAACGGGTACGTGGGTCCATGCCCTACTAGAAATAGGCTGGGTAAACGGGCACGTCATCGCACTGTCCCACATAGAACCGGCTCTGATACCATGTGAGAAATTGGGAAGAATATGATATATATTATTCACAAGACATGTACACATATATATAGATACATAGAAGGACCTTAGCCGCCTAAACCTAACTTATTGTACAAGGAAAAATTTAACATAACTAACACATGGCATTTGCTTTGTGCTTATTGAATTTGGGTTGGTTGTATTTTGTATAACTACATTTTTTGGTTATTTATAATCAAGCTAGGTAAAGTTCTTGGACCTTCTTATGAGGTAATAAATGGCAAAATGATCAAGAAGGGAAAATTTAACGCTAGTGAATTATTTGGCAAACCACATTAATTAAAATTTTCCACTTCAAAATGTGAGAAGAAATATGATGTAATTAATTGAGAAACAAATAAATTTCTAGCCAATACTTCGTGAAATTAAAATAGCTCAATTGTTCACTATATTTATGGACATATTAGCTAGTACTATATACTTACATGGCATAGATCTTATTATAAGAAAACAATATTATATATCATTATTAATGATTCTTATTTCTAATTCATGTAACCAAACAAACACACATTTCTTGCATTTCTAGCTAACACAAAAAAGGGATAATTCATAAAAAAGAAAAAAAAAAATTGCACGAAACCTCGTTTATACGAAGCGAAAGCATATCGAGTTTATAGATTCAAACATGGGATGAAGAGTAAACAGAAGCAAAAACACAAAAAAATGAAAGAAAGAAAGAAAAAACGACAATGTAACGAATACATTTCGGACCGAGACGCTTGATTCCCCATAAGTTGGCACCAGAGAGTACTTTGTCAGCTGATTCAAAACCTTCCAAGTAGAATCTAAAGGCCCTTTGAACACACAGCTGCCCTCTCAGGCCTTTTGTTCAAGAAAATAGATAAATAAAGAAAAAACAAAGAAAATTTTGTTCTTTGGGGAATTTTTTTCTGGTCTTGGCTGTTTGAATCAATTGTGCATTGTAGCTAGTGATGAACATGTTGATGGGTGGGTGAAATGATGGTGATGAATGTGTGTGGTCAGGCAGAGGAAAAGTTGAGGCCATGATGATTGATGTTGTTGAAGGAATGAAAGAAAAATATTCCCAAGTTTTTTTGGTTTATATTAATGCATAACCCCTCATAGCTAGGTTGTCCCTCTATGTTGTGTATATATATATGGTGCTTCCCCTTTCTTTTTTTGCCGTTGTTGGTTGGGTAGGATTAGGCTGCAAACTAGTCGAGTCAAATCGAACATGAGTCCAATTGAGATAAGATCATTGTTTTTTTATTTATTGTTGCTCGATCGAGCTCGACGAGCTGAATATTCTAAGGTTCGGCTCGACTAGATAATAAAAACGCAAGAGCTCGTGATTGGCTCGAATTTCGCTCGAGTTCAACTTAAAATTTCTATTAAAAAATAAAAGAAGTGTCTAGTTAGGGTATTTAAGTACATTTTACGTATATTCAAGTGACTGATCGAACACTCGCGCTTACAAACTGTTGGCTCGAATTCAGCTTGAGTTCAAATTTGTAATGTTCGAGCTCGACTTAAGCTCGACAAAATTCAAACTCAAGTGGAGCGTTGACTCGAATGCTCGCGACCAGCGCTCTAAGATATTCAACCACTTACATTAAATTTGTAGTTATAATAGTTGTGTTTTAAGTTGGGGTAAGTATATCAAAGTACATACATAAACAGTCACCAATTAGGTTTGATTTCTTGATTAGTTTGTACTTCTTTTACCAACAGTAAAAGGCTGTTAATGTCTGTATGTGAAATAAGTTGAATATGATATGATATAGTGGCTTTATCGGGCTTAGGTAAA